AGCAGTAAACGGTGTAGCACTTTGTGGCACTTTAGCAGGCCAACTCTTCTTCGGTTGGCTTGGTGACAAAATGGGAAGGAAAAAAGTTTATGGTCTAACTCTTGCTCTTATGGTATTCTCTTCTCTTGCTTCTGGTCTTTCTTTTGGTCATTCAGCTAAGGGTACGATTGCGACTCTTTGTTTCTTTAGATTCTGGCTTGGTTTTGGTATTGGTGGTGATTACCCTCTTTCTGCTACCATCATGTCTGAATATGCTAATAAAAAGACTCGAGGCGCGTTTATTGCTTCGGTTTTTGCTATGCAAGGGTTCGGAATTTTGGCGGGTGGAATCGTTTCTCTTGTGGTTTCCACTGCTTTTGATCATGCTTATAAGGCTCCGGCTTATAAGGTGGATGCTGCAGCATCACTTGTACCAGAAGCTGATTATGTTTGGAGAATTATTCTCATGTTTGGTGCTGTTCCTGCTGGTTTAACTTATTATTGGCGTATGAAAATGCCCGAGACAGCAAGGTACGCACTTTTTATTCCACAAAAATTTATTTTTTTAGATTTATTGAATAACTCATATATCTATATCTGATCTCTCTTTAGGTACACTGCACTTGTTGCTAAGAATGCAAAACAAGCGGCGCAAGACATGTCAATGGTGTTACAAGTTGAAATTGAAGCCGAGCAAGAGAAAGTAGAGAAGATAGGTGTGAGAGAACAAAACAGTTTTGGTTTGTTTAGTAAAGAATTTCTTAGAAGACATGGTCTTCATCTACTTGGAACGACTTCGACCTGGTTTCTTCTTGACATTGCTTATTACAGTTCAAATCTTTTTCAAAAAGATATTTATAGTAGTATTGGTTGGCTTCCACCGGCCGAAGATATGAACGCAATTCACGAAGTTTTCAAGGTTGCTAGAGCGACGACGCTTATAGCACTTTGCGGAACGGTTCCGGGATACTGGTTTACAGTGGCTTTTATTGACATAGTAGGCCGTTTCGCAATTCAAATAATGGGATTCTTCTTCATGACTGTGTTCATGTTTGCGCTCGCGCTTCCGTATCATCATTGGACTAAGAAAGAAAACCGAGTTGGGTTTCTTGTTATGTACGCAATGACTTTTTTCTTTGCGAATTTTGGCCCAAACTCAACAACTTTTGTTGTGCCGGCCGAGATTTTTCCCGCTAGGTTGAGATCTACATGTCATGGAATTTCTTCTGCAGCAGGGAAAGCTGGAGCAATTATAGGTGCATTTGGATTTTTGTATGCTTCTCAAAGTAAGGATCCGAAAAAGAGAGATGCAGGGTACCCTGCTGGGATTGGAATGAAGAACACTCTTATTTTGCTTGCTGTGGTTAACTGTCTTGGCATATTTTTCACATTTCTTGTGCCGGAAGCTAATGGAAAATCTTTGGAAGAGATGAGCGGGGAGAATGAAGAAGAAGGTGATGATGCTGTTAGTGTTGATCCACAAGCATCTTCTACTAGGACTGTTCCTGTGTGATCTATTACTAGTATGACCAATGTTGTTTTAATCTAGAATATCACCTTTTTAAGTATGTTTAATGTGAAATTAATCAATCATTAAAGTATAGATTATTATAAGAATTGCACAAAAGGTTCTATCTATAGGGTGCAAATGTGTGTAGCATAAGATATAGTTATGTCTCACTAGTCTTTGTCTTAGTATTAAGATAGTAAAAAGTTTCATCTAAGAGTTGTGGTATTCTACTATTATGCTAAATTTCTTTATTCAAGAACTTATTTCTCCTGTGAAGGTGTAATAAATTTGAAAGTTTTAAGTTAACCCTGTAAAAAACTTGTGACCAAAATAGTGAAGTGCTCAATACAAAACAAAACAAAAATTGTTTGGATGCAATAATTCTCCACTTTTTTCTTTTCTTGCTTTTTGTTCTTTTACAATACAGATTATTTTATCACTCAAGAGTTAACCTATTTCCCTCAGCAACAACTACCAATTACATGAAGTGATGAACTTGAACTAGCTCATGATCATGTCAAAGGGTGATCAAGTTCATTTCATGATCACTTGAAAAATTTCCTGAACCCATTGAAGATTGTTAAGGCTTTTAATTCACCAGTTCTCATATCCCTCAATCTTCTTCTCAATATCTGCAATTAATGTTCAAAATTAGTTAAGCTTTAGTGATAGAGAAATAACATATTAGTATATAACAGTTTTGCTGCGAACTTGTAATCCATTTTTGTTGTGGAAAAGTACAAAGAATCAATGTATAATCATACATGCTTGAAAAAATTTATATCAGTATACTAATCATAGTTATTAAATAATGAGTTTTTAAAGTCTTACGTATTGAGCACGGAATAGTATCCTCCGCTCGCTCGTACACAAGTCTATGGCTAGCTGTTTTAGAAAGAGTCTCCGGTTAAGTTGTTTCGGAGAAGTCACGTCCAAATCCAGCGATCCACTTGCCTGCGGATCGATAGAGGGAAACACGACTAGGATTAACTCGCTATCTAGTGATTGGTGATGCGTGTTTCGAATAAATTTAAAGGTTCCTTATTAAAGTGTTTCCTTGCCTGTAAGAACTTATTGTATTTTGAGATACTAGATTCACAACTATCTAGTATGAACTGCAATGCCTGCTCTTCTATTTCAGGATATCTCAAGTCCTTATTGGAGGTAGTTTTATTTGATGCGGTCGCAGCCATCTGTCAAAAGAATCGTGCATATGGTTATAAAACATTCGGAGAAAGAATTCGCAAAGATATTAAACGACATACCTCTTCAAATTTTCCTCTCATGCTTGAAGGACTAACAGCTAAATAAGCATAAGCCATTAACTCCAATGGCCAGCCGGTGACCCTTAATGGAAAACACTGAGATCTGACAAAAATAGAACAATCAAGTGAGTAGCAAGTTCAATAATGAGAGGCATAATAACTATGAAAATTTAGGTACTCACCCTGATAATCCATACTTCTTCAACAGTTCTAACTTCTCCTCATAAGACTCATCAGATTTCTTGAGTGACAATGGTAGCTCAACTGAGTCGCTTGGATTCGTGCCCTCCTTTGGAACAAATCCATAAGATAACAGAAGCTCCCCATTTGATTTATTTCCATAGGAAATAAACACCTGTGTAATTTGATACAAGAAATCAATTGCAGTTTGTGGTAATATTGCTAGCTTTAAGGACATAAAACATTTCGGCGAGGCGCGACAGATTTGCATTTCATTTACCTAGGTACTTAAATATTTTATCCTAAGTTAATCTAATTTAACAAACTCCAACTATGAATTTATGTTTACCTGCTCACCTGGTAGATAGGGACGATCTGTTGTAAAGACAATTCCCTTCGAAGATCTATCGTAATCCAAAAAAGTCTCCACCTAAGCCAATGAAAAAACAAATTAGAGTTCAACTTGCTGAGGAAAACCTGCTAAGATTTTTGTTAGGGAAGATACCCTACCTCACAATTATGATTCAGCATATCCGCCCAAGGAACCAAGGCCACCTTTCCATCCATTGAGGGTAACCGAACCTACACAGCACTGATATCATGAATTATCTGTTCTAACAATCATCCTTTTGTCTTAAACTATGAAACAGAAAACAAGTATGATTGAATGTTTCACTGCATCTACCAGAGTGACTCACCATGCGGGAGAAAAGAATTCCAAATGACCATTTGAAAGACTCGATGTTGAACACCTGAAAGCCATACAAATAACAGATTCAGATTCACAACTAGTTTTCAGAAACTAGTAATTCTCATCCTGTTCAATGTGATGAAGTTACCTCTTCAGGGAAGAAATCAGGGTATTTGGAAAATATTCTGAGCCTCATATCATTGTATCTGGAGAGTTATAGCAAAACAAGGGATTTTCAATCAAGAGAACACATTTGATGCATTATCATACTAAAAAAGAGAAATGAAAAGACAAAAAAAAAATCCTTGAAGAAATATCAGGTACAAACAATTGGTCCATACGTTCCAACAACATTATTAGTCCTTTCGATTGCCCTTTCCCTAATCTGTGAAGCTTCCAAGTAGCGATCTAGTTCTGTCTGTGACCTGAAATGACAAAATTGAACTGTGTAGCAAAATTTTGAGAGTAGACCCTTAAAGAATTTTATGATAAGAGCAACTGAATTCAAGTACCAGTATAGAAGTGAGTAAGGTTGACGAGGTAAGGCGGATATATAACTGAACCATTTTGAAGACTCCGTGAGGCTAGCTTCACTTATAAGGTAAGTTGCAAGCAATGGCCAATCCGGCACTGAATTCTTTTTCAATACTTCACCAGCTTCCGGGCAGCTCCACTCCTGATAACCAAACACAAACACACCCAAACAAAAAATCCAAATCAGTTTTGAAGTTTCATCATAAAGTATCAAATTTTAGCATGGATTGAATAAAGTAAAACTGTTGAGGAAGAAAGAAAGGCTTACAGAATCTGGAGTGATGACAAGTGAAGGAGGAACAAAGAGAAGCTTCTCCCCTTTCCTAATATTCTTCAATGCAACAAGTCCTCTCTCACCCACATCAACTTTATCAATGGCCATCTTCTGAGATGGAAGACCTGACTCTGACAACCATTTCAGAAGAGAAGAAGAGTTTTCCAGCGAATCATTCTCACAACCCCAAGGAATGGTTTCCATAAACGTTGAAGTTTGACTTGCAGTTGCAGAGAGTGAAAATTGGACATGGTGTCTTCTTGAGAGAGGAAGATGAGTTCTGTGAATAGTAGGGTTAAAAGCAGGAATAAGAGCGGTGTTGGTGGTGGTGCACATCATCCCAGAAGCTTCAACCATGGTTGTCTTTCACAACACAAAAACCTTACCTCGTAGAGTTTTGTTCCTATTTTTGAGTTGTTGTGAGAACACCACGTGCTACCAAAAATCTCAACTTTATCATTCATCTAATAATAAAATAAATTACTGAATGTGAATAAATTACCACTGTTGATAAAAATAAAAATGACTATTTATTGTGTTGTTTAAAGGGATCACTTTGTAAACATCATGGTGCTACTAGTTGTAGCTAAACCCAATCTTGTCTCTTGCAACTTTCCAACTCTCAAAAACAAACATTCGATTCAACCACGGACATCAACTACTACAACAACAGCATTCATCAGACCCAGTAGTTGTTTCAAGCCTGTAACAATCAAAAACCCTATTGCTGTTTCGTTTCGGAAAAAGGGTAGTATTGTTATTTGCCGTGATTCCGACAGAGAGAGTGAGGTTAGAAGCAGTGGTGTTGAGGTTGTGGAGGAAGGAAAAAGAGATTGGACAACCTCAATTTTACTCTTTCTCTTATGGGCTGCACTTATCTACTATGTCTCCTTTCTCTCCCCAAACCAAACACCGGTATAATATTACTATTCAATATGCTTGTTTTCTTATGCTGTTTTTTAATTATTATTATTATTATTATTATTCAGTCCACGGACATGTATTTCTTGAAAAAGCTGTTGAATTTGAAAGGAGATGACGGTTTCAGAATGAATGAAGTGCTTGTATCTGAGTGGTACATAATGGGCTTATGGCCTTTGGTATATAGCATGCTCTTACTTCCCACTGCCAGAAGGTATTTCCACATTCTCATTTGCATTTTTCTCTCTCTTTTTTTAGTATATATATATTGTAACTAGGCACCTTGTTAAGCATTGACTTTCCTATGTAAGACTAAATTGTTCTTGTACAGCTCAAAAAGCAAGGTTCCTGTATGGCCTTTCCTGTCACTCTCCTGTTTTGGCGGCATATATGCACTTCTTCCTTATTTTGTGCTATGGAAACCTCCACCGCCTCCTGTTGAAGAAGCTGAGCTTAAAACGTGGCCTCTAAATTTTCTGGAATCAAAAGTTACTGCATCAGTAAGTTCTCGTCTTAAAATACAAAGTTGTTGCACGCAGATCATTTATCTTATCTCAACTGTGAAACAGATACTGCTTGCTTCGGGGATAGGTCTCGTAATTTACGCCAGTTTAGCCGGGGAAGATGTATGGAAAGAATTTTACCAGTACTGCAGGGGAAGCAAATTTGTAAGTTCAGACTCAACTCTACATATATTTGGCCTGACTTATGTCCTTGTATTCGTTGTCATTAGCTTTAGCAATGCCATATAGTTCTCTACTATGTTGGTTTTCAAGCAAAAAGTACTGGTTTACTAGAACCTAGGTAGTTTACCTTGAGCCAAATTTGCAGTGATAAAATCTGGTTATCATGTTTGCAGATCCATATCATGTCCATTGATTTTACTTTACTCTCAACATTGGCACCATTTTGGGTTTACAATGACATGACTGCTAGAAAATGGTAATGCTCAGAGATCATAGATCTAGTCCATATAGTAGGATTATATATCATGTAAACCATATTTAATACTAGTACAATATGCAGGTTTGACAAAGGTTCTTGGCTTCTTCCAGTATCATTGATACCATTGCTGGGTCCTGCTTTATACATTCTCCTACGGCCTTCGCTATCAACCTCTGTCATTGCACAAACTCCAGTAGAGTCAAAGTAGAGTAAGAGTGAATCCATCGTCATATATCCACAAGTTTAATGCAATTAGAACTGAAATTGATTGTTTGGTTTTGTTCAAAATGACAGTTTCATTCTTCGGAATCCACCGCAGAGTTGTAGTACCTAATCACATTTTCACCAATACTGTAATCCATCATTTTAGGCATAATCTTTGCAGAAACTTATTTTCTTCTTTGGTTGTATGTAATAATTCCTTGTAGAGAAGTTATACAACTGTCTACATTTTTATTGTACATTTTTATTTTCTTGAACTTAAAATTTGTTTTTGAAGTTTGAACTTTTGATGATTTTATAGTGTATCCATTTGTACGGATGTAAAAAGTTATAAAATAGTGTAATAAGCTCGAGCGTAAGTTCATTCATACGTGTCAGGGGGGATGTAAAACACGTTGCTCCCTTTTTTCATAGGATTCACAAATAGAATTAACTTGTAAAAATAAACCTCTTTTGTTATTACAATTTGACTAGTAAACCCTACCTAATAGGATCAAGCGTGTCCCCATTACATGATTTTTTAGATACTTGTGCTTCATATCATAGGTAGAAACACCACTCTGTGAGAACACAGAATTTTCAGTCTAGTATTGTGTAACAATATGATAGCCCAATGTAAAGCAAAAACTGTAGAACCTCACAAACATCATTGACGTATATATTTCAAGTTAAATAACAGCTCATATATTATTCTATGCCATCATCTGTACAAAGCAATCCAGCACAGTCTCAACAGCAACCATTATGCTGAATCTGTCTTTGTTATGCAATGTGTTTTACATGTCACTAACAAGTGAAAATACATAAGCCACATCAAAGGAGAAATTTTCAAAATCAAACATAACATACACCTGCAACATATAGCACATTAACATGAGGTTAGATACTTCATGCATACAACTTCTCAAGATCATCATTGAATTTGGCTTTCAGCTGTTCCCTCTTTAACTTGAGAGCAGCAGTAACTAATCCAGACTCAGGTGTCCATGGATCCACCAACAACTTAATCTTTGCAGGAATTTCAGTTTTTTGCAGCTTTGCAGCTTTTGCAGCCTGAAATGATTAAAGTAAAATTAGTCATTAACCATGTAAGTGCTACTAAACTTGCAATGTAGTTTACCATGTTACATCATCATAACTAAAATGAAGAGAATTTATACATTTTGTGCGTATTAACTTAAGAGTGCGGTAGTGTGCTACAAGTGTTACTTCATCCTCAAATTGATAAATCACTAATGAATAATCTATAGATTGCCATCCCACATATTAGCTAACCTTGGAAATGCACTGCAGGACCTCAGTGACGGCTTCAGGTTTGTTACATAGATCATTAAAATCTTTGTATTCAATACCAGTTTCTTGAGCCCACTTTTCAAGGGACTGGTGTGAAGCAACAACTAGAGCAACACAGTAGCTGTGAAAGGGATCCGCATAAACCATTATATTATCCACATGATCACATGATGCCAATGCTGCCTCAACCTGTCATTAAGTTAAAAATGAAAGTCTAATGTTAGACCCTGAAAATTTTACTGTGAATCTCGTGTCAGTACTTCATCCAGATTCCAGAACAACTAGATATAGTTTGAGTCACCTTTCCAAGAGAGATATATTCTCCATGTTGAAGTTTGACAATATCTTTTTTCCTATCGATAATTTCAAGGCACCCATCAGGATGGAATCGCCCAATGTCACCAGTATAAAACCAGCGCATGCCTTTCTCATCAACCTGTACTAAGTTGAACAAATCACATGTGCTGCTTATTCGGCAAAAATAAACTTCCGTAAAATTAAAGAAAATTGAAAAGGAAAAATGGCATGCACCTAAAAAGCATGAATATTACCTTGAACACTTCATTAGTTTTGTCTTGATTATTAAAATAACCAGCTGTCACACTGAAGCCACCAACTACAACCTCTCCTCGTGGCATTGGTTTGTCTGACGACCGATAGCCTCCTTCTTCCCAAGAAACAAGCTATAAAACCGAATTAAAAACAAAATCAAATTCCATCCCGTTTGGGGCTCTTAAAATAGCACAAACTGCAAGTTATATAACAGCTTAAGATATATTCATTTTGTTATTTCTAATGTTACTAATTTTTCACTGACTTTTGAACTCCAATAAGTTTTATCACACGCCAGCATGAAAACTATAATAATTAATGACAATTACAATAACTCTGCAACATCTATAAATAAGTAGAGGTTGGAAGTTCAATATTTTGTTAATGAGATATATGGCATACTTTAATATAGCAACAAGGAAGAGGTGGACCAACACGTCCCACGCTGAAGTCATCTGCCTCAGAGAAGGCAGCCCCAGCAAATGTTTCAGTCAAACCGTATCCTTGCCCGATAGGAGCCCTGTCGACATAATAAATAAATAATTAAATACAATGAATTATAACTCTAGTTGGACAAAAAGAGGTATGAGTTAGAAAATATAAACTTCGTTTTTGCAAATCAAATGGACAAGCAATAGTTAAAGAATGAATCTCAGATGGCAGCAAGTGAGTGTGGTTGGTCTTTGCTGTAAATCAGTATGTCACCAGAAAAACATCAACATTTCTTTAGAAATGGTCTTGAGTGTCTCATTCATGAGAAACTAGAAAGTGGAGGTGCTATGGATAGTCCAAAAGGCATCAAAAGAAACATATAAAACCCCTCGTAAGTCTTGAAAGTTGTTTTAGAAATATATTTTCCTTTATCCTAACAAGATGAATCTGAATTTTGAGATCTGATTTTGAGGCAAAGGATATTTCTCCTCAATCTTAAGAGCTGTTAATGCCCTGTACTCAGGGTATAACCAACCCCCATTCGTCCTGAATAATATTGATCAAGGTTTTCAAGAATCCAACTGTCTTGAGTTATGAATTTACATCCACCACATACATCTGTAATATGATCACTTTGCACACTCCCGTGTTTCTAATTTTGTGTCCATCTGCTCGATTGCAACCTCTACAAAGGTACTTTGGGGTCTCTTTTATAAGTACAGTCAGCTGTTTGACAACTTTCCCTAGTAATGAAGTCGTTGGATGATTCAGAACTTAACCACCATCCTTTTTCCTATATGTTAGAACTAAAACTTTAGGAATTTGGTTTTGACCTAACTCAGTCCCACAAAATGGCCTTATAAGGTAAGGACTATCCAAGTCTTACAAACAATACAAAGGTCACTGTTAGATAAAGTTGGATGGGAAGAGGATGCTGCAACAAATAAAGTAAAGATGAAGAAGAGATTGCACAATCACTCCAAAACGTTTGTGGACCCTTGGCTCTAGATTCGATTCACCACTACCAAGAGTAGTCAATGGCGGCCAATAGCAGCGCTATAGCAGGATAGCGGAGCGGAGGCCGGCCTCTATGGGAAGAGTCTTAGATGTACAGAACACTATCTCAGCCGTCGTCTCCTCCCTCTGCTCCATCATTTCATTATTTGTTTAGTTTTACACTAAATATATGTTTATAATTATTTATGTATTTTATCCAAAAAATGGTCAAATAACGGTCATCCCGCTATACGCTATCCCATGTTTGGGGCCGGCCGCTCCGCGCCGCTATCTGGGATTGACTACTCTACCACTACCAATTTCTTTAAACTGGATGCAGTATTGTACCTGCAAATCCCCTACCTATATGTACTTACGAGTCTCCTTGTAATTTCAAGGACATTTTTAAAGATGTCTCCAAAATATTGTTGATAGTAATGTCAACATGATATCAATAATAGTGGTCTCTACAAATATCATTTTCCTCATCTCATCCTTCTACTATATATGCATACACACACATACAAATAATACAACTACTTAGTTCCAACCAAATAATTCATAGTATAAATATGAGAGTCATTACCCGACACAGATATTGATGAATTGTTGAGAATCTCCGGATAAAGGAGCTCCACCACAAAGCAAGAATCGGAGGTTGCCTCCAAGTACAGTACGGATTTTTTTAAAGATAATGGTATCCCACACCAACTTCTCCAATCTAGAAGCTCCTAGCCAACTTCCTTTTACAGTAGCCAGTCGACGATTGTATGCAATCTGGAAAAGACTCTTGGCAAGTCCCCCTTTTTCCTCCACCTGAATACAATATAGATAAGAGTAAGGAAGATAAAATAATTTTAAGTGACTAGTTTATAACATTGTGGGAAAGTAAAATAGGAAAAAACAGATGCGATGCGAGGTTCTGCAGTTAGTGATTGCAAAGTAACTATCATATTCGAAAGTCCTACCCATCAGTAATGCATTATGATAGTAAAATTAGAACACTGAATCTCCAATAAGAAATAAAAATTAAATGTGGCAAAGATAAAAAAAAATGTTCATGTGAATTAGTCGACACACCTTTTTTACAACTCCATCCCGAATACGATCAATAATAGCCGGTACCGCTGTCAAAAGGGTGGGCTTTAAGACAGTAACATCTCCCTTGGTTCCTTTCTTGATTTTATTAGATGTGTCGGTCAAAGTCATAGGAGTGCCGTAACCAATTGCAACACCTGCGGCCAGCATAACAGACTGGACAACCACGGTAATTTAGAGACAGCATCAACTACTTTGATGATTAAGACTAAAAGGCTAAAAGAATCACCTCTGCTGCCATTTCAAAAACATGAGCAAGGGGCAAGTACGCCAAGTACACGTCCTTACTGCCAAGATTTGGAATCACTGTCATAACAGCTGCTGTAGTGGCTACAATGTTCCCGTGGGTAATCATGACACCCTAAAAAAAAGTTAACAGTTTATCAAATCAAACGAAAACATGTAACTCAACTACTCATATTTCTGAATTACGAGTTCTTTAGTAGCCATTAGGTTACCAACAAAATTAATAACCATTACCTTGGACAACATTTCACAAACATGCAGCAAATCACAAATACAAATAAGAGATTACGCACACATAGACACTGATGAACCCCTTTAACAAAACTTGAGGAAATAACAAACCTTTGGCAGACCTGTACTGCCACTTGT